GCCCCTCGCTGGGGACTGTCTGGAGGGCCAGAATGCCATCTTACGGCACTGTGGGGGAGCCCAAATGGTGCATGCAGGGGGAGCTGACAGACTTGCTAGGCCCCTGGGCCAGGTGGGGGAGACAGCTCTGGGCTCCCAGAAGGGGTGGGGCCTCGAGCAGAAGCCTGGGACTAGGCTCCCCCCGCCTGTCCGTCAGAGCCTCCACACGCCCTCCTCCGCCTCAGGCTCTGGCGGTGATTTAAAAGGCCCAAAGCTCTGGCCACTATCGCCGTGGCAGCTGGAGACCCTGGGCTCTTTAGAATCGCCAGGCCCTGGGACAATTGCTCCCTTTGCCCCCCTCCCTTTGTCCCCGCCTTGTCGGCAGGCCTGGGTGCTTGCGTAGTGAGGGAAAATGTGTGAGCTCTTAATTTTCTCAAGGCTTAGAGCCTCAGTCCTTCTTGGCTCTCCCCCTTCCTGCATTCTCCCAGTTCCTTATGCAGCTCCCCTAATAAGTAAAGATAAACTGTTGTGGGTAGGCTGAGATGGCACCTCCTGTTTGACTCCCGCATGACGTGGCCTCTTGAGCTTTAGGAAGCGGGTGTTTCCAGCTAGAAATTCAGTATCAAATAGGTCACTCTTTTTTCAGGACTTTGCAGAAAGAAGTCAAGTCTGTTGCCATCAAGTCTCACTTGCATCATGTTGAAACGAGGATCGTCCTGTCTCCTTCCCAGGTGATGCAACTAGCTGCCGCCCAAGATAGGAGCTCCCAAGGAGCCTCCATTGTACGAACATCGATGATTTATAAACAGCCTCCCAGTGATGTGCAGCTACCACCACCCGCCTCCAATGAATCTGCTGTCAGTTTTGCATACACCGACCCTGGCGCTCTTCTATCAGCCCCGAGGAGCCATACGCCAGAAAGTTTTCTCTCTACTCTCTCAAAGTCAGGCAGTCTTTATTCGATGGAACAACATGATCTCCTTTATGGGTCTTCCAGGAGTTCCTCCAGAGCATCCCTGGGCAACCCAGAATATAAATATGAAGATGGAGAAGAAAGCGACGATTCTGGGAGCACCATTTTTGTCCCATTTGCAGGAATGTGACAGATGATCTATCTTTAACCAGACGTTAATGATATTCCATGTGTATCACTCGGCTGCACTATGTCTATTTTCATGGAAAATATAAATAGGAAAAAAGAAGTACACAACTGAGTATTTTCTGAGTTATGTGTGAATGGAAGGCCACACAATGAGTTGCCTACCATCATCTTCCATCTTTAAAATACAGAGATCTCCTTCGGAAGCCAACTTATTTTCAATCTTTCCCCAATCATAGTAAGGATTACAGGACCTAATGAATCAAACTCTTTCTACAGTGAACAGATGGGATGTATAAACTGACTATCTGATGTCAGTTTCAAAGAGCACTTCAAATAGTGGACTGGTGTAAGAAGTTTAAAAAGAGACTGATCCGGTGTAACTGTTTAAAGTCTTTCGAGAAGAATAAAGTCACTGGATGAGAGACGGTTTTCTTAATGACATGGATAAACCTGTGAATGTTCCATTTGCTGGTCTGTGGACCTTCATCCTGACAATCCCCAAATTACCTGCTGTCAAATATTTTTCAGGAGGGACTTGCCCACGAGATGGGATTTAACTGCCTTTGGGCCCACTTACAGGGTGGAGATTGAAAGGGGGGCAGTTGCCCTAGGGTCTGGCAATTAAAAAGCGCCAGGCCAAGTGGCAGTGGTTGGCACCGTGGGCCCTTTAAATCCTTCCGGCCCACCCCCCAGCGGGTCAGCTTGCTCTGGGCAGCACTGAGGGCTGCCTGCTATTTCTCCTTCCACCTGAGGCCCCTCCCCTTCAGGGAGCACAGAGTCACCCCCCCCCAAACCTTGCCCAGGGGCCAGACAAGTCTGTTGACCCCTCTAGTGTTAAGGATAAAATTAAGGGGAAGTCCAAGTGCTAGAAATGAAGGGCTGATCTTCAGGGCCCAGGGCAACACCTCCAAATAAGTTGGGCGTCTAACTGCTATCCTTTATGCCTTTGAAAGCCTCCCCCTAAACGTCCGCTAGCTCTTTGGTGGCTAGCCATTGTACTGTTAGCAAATTGTGCCCCCCATTTCCCGTTTGCAGGTAATTCTTAGTCTGCTGGGGCTGTGTCTACACTGGGCCACTTATTCCAGAAAATCAGCCGCTTTTCCGGAATAAGCTGCGAGCTGTCTACACTGGCCCTTGAATTTCCGGAAAAGCAACGATGCTCTACTGTACAAAATCAGCCGCTATTCCGGAAAAACTATTCTGCTCCCACTCGGGCATAAGTCCTTATTCCGGAACACTGTTCCGGAAAAGGGCCAGTGTAGACAGCCCAGTAGTCTTTTCCAGAAAAAAGCCCCGATCGTGAAAATGGCGATCAGGGCTCTTTTCCGGAAAAGCACATTTACATTGGCCACAGACGCTTTTCCGGAAAAGCAGCCTGCCAATGTAGACGCTCCTTTTCCGGAAAAACTGAAAACGGAATAGTATTCTGTTTTAAGCATTTCCAGAAATTCATGCCAGTGTAGACACAGCCCTGCAATTGTTCAGCACTCCAGGGCTGAAATCTGAGGGATGGGGATTCGCTGATCATGTGTGTTTGGGGGAGGGAAGGATGAGGAGCAATTCTTCTCTCCACATTCAGCTTGTGGCACCCATTGTTTGAAGGCCTTTTCCCCCGTTTCAGGCCCTGAACCCCTTCCTTGTCTCAGCCTATCCCATTACCTCTGGGCTCTCTGAAATACAGAGCTCCAAGCCTCACAAACCCTCTAACTCCAAGGCACACCAAGCTCCCCCTACCTCTCATCCTAGAATCCTGGAACCCCACGCCAAAGGTTGCTGATTCACACCAGCTGATAGGGGTGCTGGAACATTTTTAATAATCATAGAATCATAGAATCATAGAATAATAGGACTGGAAGGGACCTCGAGAGGTCGAGTCCAGCCCCCCGCCCTCAAGGCAGGATCAAGCTCCGTCTACACCATCCCTGACAGATGTCTATCTAACCTGTTCTTAAATATCTCCAGAGAGGGAGATTCCACCACCTCCCTTGGCAATTTATTCCAATATTTGACCACCCTGACAGTTAGGAATTTTTTCCTAATGTCCAATCTAAACATCCCCTGCTGCACTTTAAGCCCATTACTCCTTGTCCTGTCCTCAGAAACCAAGAGGAACAATTTTTCTCCTTCCTCCTTGTGACACCCTTTTAGATATTTGAAAACCGCTATCATGTCCCCCCTTAATCGTCTTTTTTCCAAACTAAACAAGCCCAGTTCATGAAGCCAGGCTTCATAGGTCATGTTCTCTAAACCTTTAATCATTCTTGTCGCTCTTCTCTGCACCCTTTCCAATTTCTCCACATCTTTCTTGAAATGTGGTGCCCAGAACTGGACACAGTACTCCAGCTGAGGCCTAACTAGTGCAGAGTAGAGCGGCAGAATGACTTCACGAGTTTTGCTTACAACACACCTGTTGATACAACCTAGAATCATATTTGCTTTTTTTGCAACAGCATCACAGTGTTGACTCATATTCAACTTGTGGTCCACTATGACCCCTAGATCCCTTTCTGCCATGCTCCTTCCTAGACAGTCGCTTCCCATCTTGTATGTATGGAACTGATTGTTCCTTCCTAAGTGGAGCACTTTGCATTTCTCTTTATTAAACCTCATCCTGTTTACCTCTGACCATTTCTCTAACTTGCTACGGTCATTTTGAATTATGTCCCTATCCTCCAAAGAAGTTGCAACCCCACCCAGTTTGGTATCATCTGCAAAGCCAGCCCCATTACCTGTGCCCCCAAGAGCTGGTAATGGGAATAGGCCATGTCTCTGGGGCGGGGGGGGACCCATTCACAGGAAAGGAAGCTGAGGCTGGGGCCAGAAGCTGGGACCATGGGGCAGGCTGTCAGCCAGGCTTCTGTGTAAAACTTGGGGGTGCTGCACCCTCCCCCAGTTTCCACACCTATGCCAGTTGAGGATCTTATCCACAGAGCACATTTCCTTTCCATTCTTCATGCAAGCCCACCCTTCTGTCATGTGGAAAGGGGAGGAGGGATAGGTGTTCCCCCTTGTGTCATAGTTTGCTCTTCTGCCCTAAGCCACTAAGGCTTGTTGGATGGGGTTGACAGAAACTTAAAAAAAAAATACCGAACATGGCAGATAAAAATTGGTCGAGCAAAAAAAAAAAAAAGTCACTGCGCCTTTAAATCCCTCCACTCTCTCCGCCCCTGCAAGATGCGGCAGGGGGAGAATGTCCCAAGTGGCTTTCCATCTGAGAAACAGAAAATACCTTTTACATGTCTGGCATTTTCTGGGGGCATTTTTTTAGACAGAGGAGGGGGAGAATGTCCCTACTGGCTTTCCATCTGAGAAACAGAAAATACCTTTTACATGTCTGGCATTTTCTGGGGGCGTTTTTTTAGACAGAGGAGGCAAAAACCGGACTGTCTGAGTGAAAACCAGACACCTGGCAACCCTAGTGGTGGATAAGATGACCGTGTCAAGAATGTACCAGTTTTCCCCCTCTGTGATGTGGAACCACTGGGGGGAGCGGTGATGAGGTAGCTGCATGTGGTGTGCTCTCTCAAGGAGCTTTTGCTGCATCTGGAATTCATGTGGGGTTTGGCACCAATTTCCTGCCGCAGGGCCCAGTCACTTGAATGGAACATTAGAGCATAAAGCCAGAATGCCCCGGCAGTTGCTGGATGATTCTGCTACATGTTCAGTATATCTTGTGGCTGGCATTGAGTGGGTTGTAGCTGGATTTCAAAGTCAACATCTGTTCTGGATTAGGAAGAAAGGGAGCATTTGCATTGGATTTGACCTGCAAACACAGTGGTTTGACCTGATTGTTTAGACGGCCATCTGTGAAACAAGGAAATGCAGTCCTCCTTCCTGAAATCAGGGGGGCTTCTTTCAAGGTTTTACTCACCAGTATAAAGGAGGAGCTGAGAAAATGGTATGGAGTAGGAAGGGAGCAAGCAAGGGCAGTAATGGAAGCAGTCTGGAGGGAAGTGTGGAGTGAGTGCAGCCTTCCATTTACATATAATTTCTCTACTGCTCTTGTAGCAGTCGTCAAAGCACTGGTTCTAGGATTGTATTGGCAGGAGAGATACTCCTGGTCTTTTGTAACCTTTAAGCAGACTTTCTGTTTGTTTGAGGGCTTTGTTTGGTTTGGTGTTGTAAGTAACCTGGGTTTTTTCCACCTCACCCTCTTCTTTGGAGCAAGGGTGTGTTGTTGACCTATTGGTGAGAGTTACTGTACAAAGTATCTCACAGGTCAGACGTTGCTTAAATGTTTCCACTTACGTTATTTGAAGCCGTTATTACAGGGCTACATTTCCGTGGGATTTTAATTGGAGCCAGAGTGAGAGCCTCAAGGTATCTAGTTACAACAAAAGTTACTTAGGAAGTCTGACAGCTGCAGTCACTATTTGCAAAAGCTATTCTTTCCCCTATATCCTCTTACCTAATATTATGTAGAATTTTGCAATCAGCTGGCAACCAGCTAGCTATTTCTATAGTGCATGTCAGTTACAGGTTAGTAACACAAACAATGAGAGATTTACAAGATGTGTTTAAGAACACCGGAACATGAAAAATCAACACAGACTTTCCATTTCATGTGCTGAAATACAGAAGGCCAGAACCCAAGTGGAAGTATATTAACATAGCTCCACAGACTGGATGGAAAAATGACTATTTGCACAAGCTGCGGATCTGACATGAAACAGTCTGTTGTGGTTCTAAGTTTATATTTCTACACATTTTGAAAAGTTTCCTTTGTGTTCTGGAAAAATGTTACATAGTTTTACACAAGAAAGCAAAAAAAACCCTTCAAAAATCATTGGTTATTAAAAGATGCAACATACACATCTTATATATTTCAGGAGCTAAGCTATAGCTGAATTCAAAAGGCAAAGATCTCATCATATTTTTCTATTGGCCACATGATGGCAGAACAAGCAAAGAACTGAATTACTGGTAATTAAAAAATATCAATGTTTTGCTCCAGTTTGCCTCTAATTCTGATAATGAAGATATTACCTTTTCTTATGCTGTTAATTTCATATGTGCACAATAGGCTGCTATATAAATGCAGAATTATAGTCCACAGTCCACAACTCTGTCAAAATTTTTAAAAATATTGCAAAAGAAACTCTGTCAAAATTTTTAAAAATATTGAAAAAGATGAAAAAGCGGCGAGGAGTCCTGTGGTACCTTAGGGTATGTCTACACTACCCCGCTAGTGCGTACTAGCGGGGTAATGTATGCATACCGAACGTGCAAATGAAGCCCGGGATTTGAATTTCCCGGGCTTTATTTGCATAAGCCGGCCGGCGCCATTTTTAAATGCCGGCTTGTTCGAACCCCGTGCCGCGCGGCTACACGCGGCACGGGCTAGATAGTTCGGACTAGCAAGCTATTCCGAACTATCTGTACGCCTCGTGGTACGTAGTTGGTAGTGCTGAATTCTGCAACGGGGAGAGGGGTGATAGCTGGTGGGTGCAGTTGATGCAAATCCAAGCATTTTGAGAAGGATTCCTGAAAGTGTGTGGTAATTCCTTGCAACACTTGATGTTCAGCTCTGATGCAGATTCTAAGCACCAAGTATGGATGAAGCAATTTACCACCCCTAGATTGCTCCTGGGGCTGCATTTGGCAGTTTGAACGGAGGCTGATAGGTTCTCTTGGCCTGCAGTACAGCATCAGCATAGGCTTTGAGGAATCTGTTATGTTTGATCCTTTGTTGGCTGATAGCCTTTGTTTTCTGCCTGTTGCTGCACCTTTTTCTTAAAGCTTATGCTCCTACACTTCAGTTAGTCTATAAGGTGCCACAGGACTCCTCGCCGCTTTTGTATTGGATTAATAATCCTGGAAACTAAAGTCCCCAGTTTAGTAACACATGGCCTAGGCAGAACTAAAATAAGCTTCCACACAGTACCATTCCAGCAATTCAAGTTCTGCATTCAGATGTGGGCTTTTGGCTCCCTCTAACATCAGTGGGAACCGTAGGAAGAGATTTAAGGGCTGAGTTTACCACAGTATGCCTCAGTTTTGACCTACAATGACCTCAATGAGGGTCAACACTGAATTTGTTCTTCCTCTGAATTTAGTTACTGACCTTTGCTGAAACTGCTAACTATGATGTAAATTAGTATTAGCACAGGGTAGTTTTTGTGATATGGACAATTTTACGTAGGAGCATAAGCTTGGCAACATACAAATGGCAACATACAAAAACCTGTAGGGGAACACTTCAGTCTTCCTGGACACACAATTGCAGATCTAAAGGTAGCCATCCTGCAGCAAAAAAACTTCAGGACCAGACTTCAAAGAGAAACTGCTGAGCTACAATTCATCTTCAAGTTTGACACAATCAACTCTGGATTAAACAAAGACTGTGAATGGCTCGCTAACTACAAAAGCAGCTTCTGCTCTCTTGGAATTCACACCTCCAGATCAGCTACTAGAAGTGGGCCTCATCCTCCCTGATTGGATCCACCTCGTCATCTCCAGCCTGATCCTGGCCTGCATATTTATACCTGCCTCTGGAAATTTCCACTACATACATCTGACGAAGTGGGTCTTTGCCCACGAAAGCATATGCTCCTACACTTCAGTTAGTCTATAAGGTGCCACAGGACTCCTCGCTGCTTTTGCAGATTCAGACTAACATGGCTACCCCTCTGATACTTAATCCAATACATTTTACCAAGAACACTCACTTGCAAAAATAGACTTAAGCAATAACGATAGCGAATCTAAGGCCAAATCCTACAGTTTATTTCAAGTTCCCTCTGAAATCGGTGGGCATTCCACCAAATAGGTGCCGCTTACTTAGGAATAAGCCATATTTAGGAGTAAGGTTTCCAATTTATGCCTGAACATTATGCCATAGGTTCAGATCATCTGGCTTTGCCTTCCTGCATAAGGGACACCTTTTATGGGGTCATGCTTTGATGATATTTTACTCTTCTGGGCACTACGTGAGCTTTTGGTGAGGTAAGGGAGTAAATAAAGATTTGTTTGTAATGACTGTATGATTATAATATAATATTTTCTTCATGGCTTTGGCAAAGGTAATTCCTCTTATGAGCTTATTACAACCTGTTCATTTAAAAAGATATATTATATGGCTGTAGCCAGACAGACACCCCCTTCCCCCCCCC